GAGCAGCAACCTTAAACCAAGACAGCATTGCATAAGCGTACGTAATAAGGCTAATAGATTATTGGGATTTATATCAAGAAGTGTAAGCAACAGAAGTCCAGAGGTCATACTGCAGCTTTATACATCATTAGTAAGGCCTCACCTAGATTATGCAGCTCAATTCTGGTCTCCATATTACAGAATGGACATAAATTCGTTAGAAAACATTCAGCGTAGGATGACTAAATTAATACATAGCATTAGAAATCTTCCTTATGAAGAAAGATTGAAGACTCTTAAGTTACATTCACTTGTTAGACGAAGAATGAGGGGAGACCTGATCGAAGTGTATAAGTGGAAGATGGGTATTAATAAAGGGGATATTAATAAGGTCTTGAGGATATCTCTCCAAGAGAGAACCCGCAGTAATGGATTTAAATTAGATAAGTTTAGATTTAGAAAGGACACAGGAAAGTATTGGTTTGGAAATAGGGTAGTTGATGAGTGGAACAGTCTACCTAGTTGGGTTATTGAGGCTAGGACTTTGAGTAGTTTCAAATTTAGGTTGGATAAGTACATGAGTGGGAGGGGTTGGATTTGAGTGGGACTTGCACATCAGAGCTTATTTCTTGGGTGGCATTGAAAATTGGGTTGGTCAAATGTTTTGTTAGTGGGATGAATTGTAAAGGACCTGCCTAGTATGGGCCAACAGGCCTGCTACAGTGTTCCTCCTTTCTTATGTTCTTAATAGCACCAGGCACTCCAAAACTATATCCCCTCTTGCTTTTAATATTTCTATCTTTATCCCATCAATCCCAGCTGCCTTACCCCCTTTCATTCTACCCACTTCCTCATGAACCTCCCACACACTCACAACCGGCTCTTCCTCACTCCTGCAAGATGTTATTCCTCCTTGCCCTATACACGAAATCACAACCTCCCTATCTTCATCAACGTTTAACAATTCCTCAAAATATTCCCTCCATCTTCCCGATAACTGTAACTCTTCATTTAATAACTCTCCTCTCCTATTTTTAACTGTCAAATCCATTTGTTCTCTAGGCTTCCTCAACTTATTGATCTCACTCCAAAACTTTTTCTTATATTCAACAAAATTTGTTGATAGCATCTCACCCACTCTCTCATTTGCTCTCTTTTTACATTGCTTCACCACTCTCTTAACCTCTCTTTTTCTCTCCATGTACTCTTCCCTCCTTGTATCACTTCTACTTTGTAAAAATCTCTCATTTGCTAACTTTTTCTCCCTTACTACTCTCTTTACATCATCATTCCATCAGTCGCTCTTCTCCCCTCCCGCACCCACTTTCCTGTAACCACAAACTTCTGCTGAAAGGTCTAACGCTACATTCTTATACCTACCCCATACATCTTCGACCCCATTGCCTATACTCTCACTAGCCCATCAATCCTCCAATAGGATTGCATATGCATGTGCTTGCCTGTGTAGTGTGATCTATGTGTAAGTAGAAGTAGCAAGATATACCTGTTATCCAGCATGTTTATGAGACAGCAAAGAGTCACCAGCAATCCTACCATCGTGTAAAACAGTTACAGGTTTCTGTTTCACAGTCACCTGGCAGGACGGTAGTACCTCCCTGGGTGGTTGATGTCTACCAGCCTACTACTCTGATAATTATACTTATATATACCTGTACCTAAATATATTTACACACTGTGCTGGCATGCAGGTACACATTAAAGTCGGTAAGAGTGCCTTATGTCTCGAGATGCCTATTAGTAATGATGATGATAAAAATAATTTTTTTCATTTGGTTATATTAGACACATGTGCAAACTCTTGGGGGTATCTTTATTGAGGAAACGTTTTGCCCACAGTGGCTTCATCAGTCCATACAAAGGAGAATCTTGAAGGAACAAGGAGGAGACATGAGGTAATCAGTCCTCAACCTTGTGTCGATGGGTCGTCACTCAAATCTATTCAAGATTGATGGACTGACCACATCGACTGATTACCTCATTCTCCTCCTGTTCTTCAAGATTCTCCTTTGTATGGACTGATGAAGCCACTGTGTGGCGAAAAACGGTTCCTCAATATGATACCCGAGAGTTGCACATTGTGTCTTAATTTTATCAAACATGTCGGTTCTCCTGGAAACCATCATCTACAAACAATAATCATTGAGTCGCATTATATGTCGTATATTACATTAGTATGCACATTTTCATTAATCCATCTATATTTTTTCAGAATTATATAATAAACACAATACATAACATATAAACATGATAAATACACCCCACAGTAGAATAAATTAACATAAATATGAGAAGTGGTATCCAGACGACGTGTACGAGTGACTGCTAGAATAATGTTTTCTCTAGTCCAGTGTCAGAAAAAATGTGTATACGGTGGAACCTCAAATATCGAACTTCCTTTGGTCCAGAAGGCTGTTCGAGTGCCTTTACCGAATGAATTTATTCCCATCAGGAATAATGTAAATTTGATAGTCATTTAACGACCCTCAAAAATAAACTTTTTAAAAGCTCTTACATAAATACACTTACATGATTGTTTGTGTTGGTGAGCAGTTCGATTTTTGAGGTTCCACTGTTTATAAATTTTACCTTGGGGTAACTGTTAGAAAATTTATCCTTTTCATATGCTCTCGTCACGAGTGTTATTTCTTCTATAAAAGTGGTGTTTAACCCTGAAACGGTCGCCAAACATATCAAACGTTCTCTCGCGTATAGAACCCAATCGTATATAACATGATACTTTTCATTTTTATTCATTCAACTTTGGTGTGATAGTCCTGATAGCAGACTTGAGAGATGGGTGGTTGTGCACACTCAGTGTGTGCCTATGTAAACAGTTGGGGCTGCCTGGGTACACATGCTCATTTTTTTTTTTGCTTTTTTATTATTTTCTACATAAATAGTTGGGGATAATTCGCAGGTGAATGTTGATCATGCATTTGGGACTGGTTTAAGAGCTTAATTAGTTTGGTGTGTGGTTGCTCTGTTTTTGTCTTCATGTTATTCAACTGGGGGTGTCCTTCGGGGACTAATACGTAAAAGTCGCATAGCTGGTGGTTTTCATCATTTGTTGGAAGGGGGGGGGATAGGTTTATACGGAGAAGGGAAGAGAGCAGAGAGAAAACGCTAGAAAGAGATAGCACGCAAGAGAGACGGAAAGAAAGGAAACAAGAAAGCAAGCACCAGCAAATCTATGAAGCCGCGCGAACGAAAGAGAGAAAGAAAGACAGAGAGCACGACAAGAGGACGACGTAACCTCTACCTCTCATCTCTCCCTCCCTCTCTTCCTCTCTCTCTCCCTCCCTCCTCTTCCCTTCCCTTTCTCCCTCCCTCCTCTCCCTCCTCTCTCCTCCCTCTATCCCTCCTTCTCTCCCTCCCTCCCTCCCTCCCATCTTCCATCCCTCCCTTCCCTCCCTCTCTACGTCCCTCCCTCTCTCCCTCCCTCCCTCCCTCCCTCCAATTCTCACCTCCCCCCTCTCTACCTCTCCCTCTCACTCTTCCCTCTCTCCCTCCTCTCTCCCTCCCTCTCTCCCTCCCGTCTCCATCTCTCCCTCACTCCCTCTCCCTCCCTCTTCTCCCTCCCCTCTCTCCATCCCTATCTCCATCCCTCTCTCCCTCCTTCACTCCATACCTCTCCCTCCCTCCCTCCTATCCCTCCCTCTCTCCCTCCCTCTCTCCCTCCCTCTTCCCTCCTCTCTCCCTTCACTCTCTACCCTCTCTCTCTCCCTCTCTCTCTCTCTTCTCTCCTCTCTATCTCTCTCTCTCTCTTTGTCTCCTCTTCTCTCTCTCTCTCTTTCTCTCTCTCTCATATCTCTCTCTCTCTCTTCTACTTCATCTCTCTATCTCTCTGCTCTCTCTCTCTCTCTCTCTCTATAGTAACGAAAGTATAAAAAGTAAAATTCTTCAGTTTGTTCTTCAAAAATCTATACATGTATATCTGTGGTTAGGTCTCATTTAGATTATGCTGCGCAGTTTTTGGTCACCGTTTTACTTAATGGATTATAAATACTTGGAAACTTACAATGGAGGTAGACAAAATTGATCCCATGTTATCTGAAATCTTCCCTATGAGGATAGGATGAGGTCTGAATCTGCACTCTCTAGAATGGAATAGAATTGGGGGGATAATGATTGAGGTTATTAATGGAAAACAGGAATTAATATCTGGGGATGTAAATAGCGTGCTAAAAATTATCTAACATAGACGGACTCTCAGTATAGTTTTTTAAATTGGAAAAAAATTCAAGTTCAGAATGGATTAGGAATGCACTGGTTTGGTTTTAAAAATAGAGTTGTCGAATGAGTGGGAACAAACTACAGGTTACCGTCCTAGATGCTTAAGCGTTGTGATAGTTTTAAAAATAAGTTGGATAAATAAATGAGTGGGTGTGAGTAGATGTGAGTTGGACCTGACTAGCTTGTGTTACTAGGCCAGATGCTGTGCTCCTCCCTTAAGTGACATGTCTGACCTGACTAGGTCAAGGCTTCTGGCTTAAGCTTTTGGTGGAGAATTGGACCGCCTTGCATGGGGCTAGGTAGGGCACGTTGCAGTGTGTTTTTCTTGTGTTCTTGTATACATCTAAAAGTTCACTGTTATGTTGTGTTTTACTGCATCTAAAAGTTCACTGTATGTATTTTATTGAATCTAAATGTTCACTATTATAATGTAACATTTATTTTTGGTTATTTTTTTGTATGCTCTTGATTGTGTGTAGTTTATTAATGTATGATATAGATCATTTATTAACTCCAAGTGTCTGTGATATGTTGCAGTGCAAGTGACTGCAATATACCCTGAGAATGACCCTTGTTGATCACACACACACTCATTCTATCCTCTGTACATCATGATAGACTATAAATTTGTTTGTATAAATTTGTACGAGCATGTACATCGGTTTGAGTTATGCTCACCGTGTTACTCAAGCTGGCTTTGTATGCTAATGTACATTCATGTTTTATGCTTACTAACCTTTGTACGTCTTCTCTTTTTTGTCTGTCAGGAGGTGATGGAGCTGGCTAAGTCACCCAAGTCACCCAAG